AGGATGCTGAGATGTTATCTGGGAGCTGCTAACTGGTGGTAGTACCAATGCTAAGTAATTAGAACCAGAGCCCCCATCCCAGGTGGAGGGAGAGGAAGAGGAGGGGGGCTGTGTGTGTGTGGAGGGACCCCATCAGGTGCTGTGGGTTCTTGGGGTGCTGGGTTGGGGTGTTGGGTACCCGCTTATCGCCTTCCACAGCAGGGCTCCAGCACACTCCATGCAGGATTAGACCCGAAAGCACTGGGCTGTCACTGGTGGGACACTGGTGCTGGGTCCACCTCCCTCCTATCGCAAGGGACACGCTGAGCTGGGACAGTTCGTGGTCTGCTCATCTCCCAGGAGCGGGGTCAAAACTGGGTTTTTGGGAGGTTATTGTTTCGAGCAGCAGCGTCCTCCCTTTCAGTGTCCTGTCCCTCTGCCGGACCCAAATTCAGGTTGTCTAATAGAGTGTGTGTGTGTGGCTGTGTCCCAGAGTGTGTCATTGTGCAGGTGTCAGTCTTAGGCTCAGTGTTAAGGTTGAGTTGAATTTTGATATTTTATTTTTTTTTCCCTCCCCACTTTAAAAACAGGGAAATCAAACTGCAATGTACGGAGGATACAGCAGATCCCCCCCCGAATTACTGTGCGTGCTCTGAGGGCATGTTGAATTTTCCTATTAATTTAAAAGATCTGTTCATTCTTTCCAGTTAAGATAAATTTGAAGATGTGTCCTTGTTAAGACAAGTCAGGAGTGTAATTCTTTCTTGCCTTCAACGGTCCTTCTGAAGTACAATTTCTCCTACTCTTTGCTGTACCACTGCGTACAGGTGACTTGTGACAATTTTTTGGACACTTATTTTCTCTGCTCTTCTCGTGACAAATGTTGCTTTTCACGTTCTGTGTTTTAAAGGAGAATTTCCTGGAGAAGTGGCCTCTTGGAGGACGGGAACCATTGTCGGTCTTTCCTAGGACAGCCATCACAAGCTATTGCTTGTGACAAAACAACATACTTTTTTGGGGGAAAAAATAATATCTCACTGTATGGTTAAGAGCTTGAAGAGCGATGAGGGAGGTGCTACACTTCAGGGGTTTCTCATCACCCCTCGTGCTGCCCGGCCTCTCGGCTGGGAAACAGCCCTGCTTTTAGAGAAGAGAGGGAGGACACTAAGGGGGAAATGGAGGAGAAAAAATGAGGGAAATTGGAGGACAAAGGGTAAAACGTGTGTGTGCGGGCAGGAATGCGGCTGGCAGGGAGCAGCAGTCAGAGGGAGCACCCCCAAAAGCCCCCCCGCTGCCTCTGCCTGCGATGACGGGCTGCCTGCTTTGGCTGGTAGCTCTGTCTTGCTCGATGTTCCTGCAGGAGATCTGGAAAATGTTCCTGGGCTAATTCCCAGGCAGAAGCTGTATGTGCTCCTGAAGCCGAGACCGAGCCTTCAGAGAAGAAATACAGCTCGTAATTTCATCCTTAAAACTAATAAAACAAACATAGGCCTTCTTTCTGGATTCTCTGGGATGAAGGAGTGCCAGCAGGATGTGGTGCTCGGGATGTTCTCAGCTCCCTTGATTGCTTTATGGCCTCTCCCCTGCTTAAAAGTCAGCTTGACCTGATCCCAGCCAGCCGTGCCGTCAGCGCAGGCTGGTGTCGCGTGGACCGGTCGGTTCGCAGGTGTTGGCCAAGGTTTTGGCCAAGGAGGTGTGATAGTTCCTCCTGGTATGGAGATGGGGGACGGATAGGAGCCTTCTCCTCCCGCTCCGACGTTGCAAGACATCTGCATGACTTGTTTGTGGCTTCCTGTTTGGCATCTTCTGGGCAGGAGGGAGCTGGCAGAGGTTGGAGGATGGGAATTTGAGTCACTTGAGAGTCCGGTGCCAGAAAGCTTCTGACTCAGCCCCGTCGTGGAGAAACGAGTGTGGGATCCAGCTGCCTGTCGGGGTGGGAAGCCGTGAGCGAGCGTGCAAGTGTTCACTTGCGCGGCATGTCTGCGGCCCGGCGCGGGGCGGGGAGGCTCTTCTGCATCTCCTGGGATTGCGTCAGGGCTCCGGCCGTGGGTGGGGGAAGCCTTTATCTCTCCCAAGGCTTTGGAAGCGGCGTGCTGGCTGGTGGCCAGCTGACCTACTTGGTAGCCTGCAAGCCGAGCGCGGCGCTCACCTGCCGGCAGCGCGGCGGGGATGGAGCCGGGCTCTGCTCAGCGTCCCACCTGCACCAACCCTGCAGGGGTTAAGTTTCTTAGAATCACAGAAGGGTTGGGGGTTGGAAGGGACCTTAAAGATCAGCCGGTTCCAACCCCCCTGCCCTGGGCAGGGACACCTCCCACCAGACCAGGTTGCTCAAAGCCCCGTCCAACCTGGCCTTGAACCCCTCCAGGGATGGGGCAGCCACAGCTTCTCTGGGCAACCTCAGCCAGGGTCTCACCACCCTCACAGCAAAGAATTTCTTCTTAATATCTAATCTAAATCTCGTCTCTTCCAGTTTAAAACCAATACCCCTCATCCTATGACTCCACTCCCTGATCAAGAGTCCCTCCCCAACCCTCCTGGAGCTCCTTTAGGGACTGGAAGGGGCTCTAAGGTCTCCCCGGAACCTTCTCTTCTCCAGGCTGAGCAACCCCAACTCTCTCAGCCTGTCCTCACAGCAGAGGGGCTCCAGCCCTCTGATCCTCTTTGTGGCCTCCTCTGGACCTGCACCAACATGTCCATGTCCTTCTTGTGCTGAGGACTCCAGAGCTGGACTCAGTACTCCTCCTCTTTCCAAGAAGCTGCTGCATTGCCCTTCTTCCACAAGTTAGGGTTTTTACAAAACTTCATGGCTTCCTGAAAGCTTGTGTGGCAAAGGCATGGCCACCACACCTGTGGTGCTGGGGTTTGATGATCCTGACTGTGTGTCCCCCCCTCCCTCCTGATGTCCCATGACCATGGTGCTGCTTTGGGTGCCACTGGAGCCAGCGTGGTGGAGGCAGAGCCACAGCTGGGCAGGGAGGATGGGGCAGAAAAACCACCTGAATTCAGCTCCCACCTCTGGAGCAGTGTGGGTGAAGGGGACTGTTCCCACCAGCCCTGTGCCTTCCCTGTGCTCCTGGGGCTGGGCAGGCGAGCTGGTGGAGCTGGTCAGGGCTGTCCCCTCTGACCCGGCGAGCTGATGGAGAGGTCCTCCTGATGTCTGGCTGTCTGTCCTGGCCGTCCTTCCTGCTGCTACAGCTGGCACCGAGCTCCAGAGCCCTTGCCAAGGGCATCGGGGTGTGTGTGGGCTCCAGCTCCGCCTGCCGCCTCCGAGGCTGGTCGGTTGGTCGGTGTGTGGATCTGCTGGGGTTCCTGGAGCCTGGGCTGTTCAGGAGCTGCTTTCAGCTCCCTGGCTTCTTGCTAAGACTTGTACTAGAGCCACGGAGCAGGTTGGTCTTGTGTGTGTTTGATGTTCCTTCCGTGGTGCCTGCAGCCCCAGCCGGTGCAGCTGGCTGGGGGGGGAGAAGGTGTCCCATCTCCCCATCCAAATGCTGGGGTGGGATGGAGCAGGGATCCGCCGTGTCCGGGAGCAGAAGGGAAAGCCACGGATGTAGAGCCTGCCAAAGCACACGCTTCGGTTTTTGCCGTGCCCAAATTACATGAGGGAGTTGGAGCAGAGATAACTTTGCAGGAACATCCATTCCCACCTTATCTTCCATCAAGAATGCGTTACGTTGCCTACATCAAAGTAGATGCTCTGCTGCCTCCCTCCTCGTTGCCCTAATCCTCTACTTCACGCTGAAAAAAAAAAATATCAGAGTCTTGCTCCACAATAATGAAATCTAAATGCTAATTATCAGCATATTGCCTTCCTTCCCTTTGCAGTGCCCTGCCTTCCAGCCCCAAATAGCTTTCCTCCCTCCTTGCTCCTCTCCATCCGGTCCTCCCACGCTCCTGGGCACGCCGTTGAGCCTGGCTTGGTAGAAGTTGTCCTGCAGGATGCTTCCCTCCCTTCCATTTAAGGACAGGAATTCCTCGGGGAGCCAGGGTGTGGAAGGGATCCCTCCCTGTGCCCCATTGTCAGGACTTCTCCCCGTACCTAATTATCGCCTGTCCCTGCAGGAAGCTCCTTGCCTGGCCGTCGGGCAGAGCCGCGGCGTCTCCAGCCTGCCCGCTCCACAGCTCTTTGTGGGAAGGCTCCATTCCCCTTTGGGTGCCAGGCTTGGGTCTGGGAAAGGTGCTCACCCTCATCATGGAGGGAGGGCTGGGGAACGGGACTGAACCGAGAGAGTTTTTGTCGGTGGGAGCCTAACTCGGCTCCTTGCACGTGCATTGATGGTGAAGGAAGAGGAGAGCTTTATTTTGGTGTCAAAAAACATCTTGTGGAGAGAAAGCAGCAGAAGTGGGAGCCTAAGTTGGCTTCTTGCACATGCATTGATGGCAAAGGAAGAGGAGAGCTTCATTTTGGTGTCAAAAAAACATCTTGTGGAGAGAAAGCAGCAGAGTTTAAGCACACGTGAAAAAAAGAGAAGTTGTGGGTGCTCCATCCCTGGAGGGGTTCAAGGATGGATGGATGGCGCTTTGAGCAAGCTGGGGAGGGACTCTTTGCCAGGAAGGGTAATGATAGGACAAGGGGAAACGGTTTTAAATTGGAAGAAAAAAGATTCAGATTAGATATCAGAAAGAAATTTTTTACTATGAGGGTGGTGAGACACTGGAACAGGTTGCCCAGGGAAGTTGTGGCTGCCCCATCCCTGGAGGGGTTCAAGACCAGGCTGGATGTGGCCTTGAGCAACTGGTCTGGGGGGAGGTGTCCCTGCCCATGGCAGGGGGGTTGGAACTTGATGATCTTTGAGGTCCCTTCCAACCCAAACCATTCTATGATTCTATGGTCAAGAGGGAGGTGTCCCTGCCCATGGATGATAGAACTGGCTGATCTTTAAGGTCCCCTTCAATTCAAACCGTTCTATGATTCTATGAAAATAAATGGTGTGGATGTGGGGCTCTGTGGGGGGGTGGGACGGGCTGGCGTGGCCCCTGCTGCTCGTGCTCAAGGCTGACCTCTCGCCCTCCTCTCTTTCTAGGTTCATGAGTGGGAAGGGGCTGGTCATCTACCCGGAGATTGGGGATAAACTGGACATTATCTGCCCCAAGGCCGAGCCATCCAAGCCTTACGAGTACTACAAGCTGTACCTGGTGAAGAAGGACCAGGCAGATGCCTGCAGCACCGTCATGGACCCCAACGTGCTGGTGACGTGCAACCGGCCCGAGCAGGAGATCCGCTTCACCATCAAGTTTCAGGAATTCAGCCCCAACTACATGGGCCTGGAGTTCAAGCGACAGCAGGATTACTTCATCACATGTGAGTCGCCCTCCTCTTCCTCGCCGCCGGCCGGCCCTGGCAACAAGGGTGGGGGCCGTGGGGGGCCTGGAGAGTGTCGCCAGGCGCTTGTTTGCGACTTGGCTGGTGCAAAGAGCTGACACGTACGGAAAATATTTCCCGCTGGATGGGAGAAGAGGGAGGAATGTGTCTCTGGCCAAGCAGGTCACCGGCCCCTGTCTGGCTGCTGGGCTGTGCCTTGTGCCCCCTGCCCTGAGCAGATCCCCCTGATGGGGTCACCCCTGGCGTGGAGGCGCAGTGTGTGTCTGGAGCTTGTTTTTTGCAGCTGTTCTCCTCCGAGGTGTTGCAGGGCATTTCTTGTAGGGTTTGCCCTGGGAAGCTCCCGGTGGAACAGTTGGGATCACGAGGAAGGGGGACCGAGGAGACGCTCACCCCCCTCCCTGGGCGCTGCCTGCGAGAGCATCCCTGGCAGTGGGAAGCTGCCGGTGGTGCCCAGACCTTGCTGTGCTCTAAATGGCTGTAAAAATTCCACATACTGGCCTGTTCCTGTTGTTTCTTGGTATAAAACGGCACTACAAAGGGGAGAGGGAAGGAGGGCTGAATTTTCTTGGAGCCCGTGGTCTGTGCGTGCGGGGGACCATCGCGCAGGGACACCCTGTGCCAGCTCTGGCATGAATAGAGGGCGGACTCTGGAGGGCTCAACCTTCCCTAGGTCTGATGGTGCTGAGCTGGGCGATTCCTGCCATCTCTCTCCCCCTGCTCAGCTTCTCCTCAGCCTCCCCGTTTCTCCCTGGCTCGGCCCATCGCGTGCGAAGCCGCGGCGGAGCAGCCGGCAAAGGGCACGGTGGCCACGTGGCTCCTGTCTCCCCTCGCCACCACAGCCTGGCACAGAGGGCAGCCGCCCGCGTGGGAGGCGAGTGCCGAGCCCTGGGAAGCCACTGCTTTCTAGTCGGTAAACAAATGTATTTTTAGCCTGAAATCTTTGCCCTCTGAGGGGGTGGGCGAGGATGTTGCACAGGCGGCTGGGGGCAGGAGGTGCTCTGCCACCCTGGATTTCCTGGTGATACTGCCAGCCTGGATTTCCTTCAGGCTGGGGCCGCCTGAAGTTTTGCTGCAGAATAATTTTAAGAAATCCCAGTGCACGGAATGCAGCCGGAATGGGGTCTGGCAGGTCAGCCCTCAGCCCACCCTTGCGTCCTTTGTGGTGGATTTTGCTTAGTGTTTCCTGACGCCTGGCTGAGCAGTCGGGATCGGGAGGAGCAGGGACCGAGAGGATGCTCCTCCTCCCTGGGGTGGTGAGGAAGGGGCTCGCAGGGGTTTCTAGTGACCCCTGCCTGGCACGACATGGCCATAGGAGGGGTGACAGCAGGGAGGACCTGGCACAACCACCCCCTCAGCCTGCTCGGCACTGTGGTGGTGCCAGCAGAGAGCCAGGGCTGCGCGGGGCTGAGTCACCGTTTGGCAGGGCTGGTCTCTCCTGAGAGCTGCCATCTCTGTCACCCTTGCTGGCCGGTTCTGGGGCCATCTGCCTGTTGTCACTCAGGGGTCACAAGTGGGATCACCAGTTTTGCAGCCATTGGGGCGCGGGCAACCCTGGCTGCAAGCCCAGGGGATGGGCTGGAGATGCCAAAAGTCCTGGCACAGGTTCCCCGCTGGCTCCCATCTCCCTCATCCTCGGTAACCAGGGCTGTCTCCAGCCTGGTGGCTCTGGGACCTCGAAAGGTCAGCCCTTCTGCTGTCCCTCAGCTGATGCAAGGCTAAATTCAACAGCAAGATTTTCCTGCAGTGAGCAAAGAGGAGGGGAGAAGGGGCTAAATGTACAGCCGTGAGCCTTTTGTATGTCGGGCAAACATCTTGAAGCACTTGGTCAACGGCTCCTCCGTGCTCAGGGGGTCAAGTTCAAGCAGTGGCCTGGTTGTCAAGCTAATGAGAGCTGAAAGCAGGGTCCTGCCTCGCGCCCCACTGGGACCCTTGGGCTGCAAATAGCCCCCAAAAACAAATATGTTGCCCAGAAGGAGCTCGGGAGGCTGACAGAGCTCTGGGGAGGAGAAACGTGGGGGTCCCTCGCGTTGCAAGGGCAGTCTGGCAGGAAGGTGCAGGCAAAGGGAATTTCCCCGAGCTCTGAATTACACAAGTTTTAAGGAGCTGCTTTGCATTTTACATGAAAGCTCTTGCTGGAATTAAATCAACTGGCCGAGGGCAGGTCGGAGGTTTGGCTGAGGCTTTTAAACTCATTGCATTTTTGCTCAATCTCTCTTTTTATTTTTTTTTATTTTTTATGATTCTGCTATCTAGAAATTTTTTCTACATTTGTAACGCAGCCCTGATTTCATCTCGAGGCGAGGTGACTCCACACAGACTGCCGTAAACTCCTCTTTATCCTCTTATTTCCCCGTCTCCCCTTGGCAGCATCTCATAGGGATGTGGTGAGCGGGCTGCTCAGCATCTCTGTGGGGTCCTCCCCTTCTCTCCTCGGGAAGGGGGGGGCTGGCAGTGTCCTCTGCATCCTCCTCGGACCGTTTCTGACTTTAATTTCTCTTGACTCCTCCGCGCTTTGATGCGAGCCCCCTGGGCGCTGGGAGCGAGCGGCCGCTGCCAGCTGAACTTTGGCCCCTGGGTGGGCCGAGGATGCTCCTGTGATCTGGCCGTACCCTCTGCCGAGCAGCCCCAGGAGCTCTTTCTGCCAAGAAATAAAATAGCCAAAAAAACAAAGTCAAAAGTCTCCTGAGCAGACCACCCACGTGTTGTCTTTCTTTTTTTTTATTTCCTTTCTTTCTTTTTTTCCTCTTTTTTTTTTTTTTTTTTTTTTTTCCCTTACCCTCCCCTCTCCCCAAGCTTTACTTTGACACACAAAAGGGTTTTTTTGTTGTTTTTTTTTTTTTTCTTCCTTTTTATTTGCCGGCGGCCCTAAGCCGGGGGGAAGCGCTGCTGAGGCGCAGGGGAGCGGGGCGGCAGCGGGACGTGTGCCGCTTGTCCCCCCCCTCCCCAAACCTTCCCCAGGCATCTGGAAAACCTCCCCCCTGGAGCCAGGGGGGGGCTTCCCGGGGTCCCTCCCCATTCAGGGCTGCTCCCCCCTCGCCTTGGATATGCCAAGCCTTGTTTAGGGCCACTTTTATCACCGAGGGACACGGCCCCAGCCCTCGGCTTAGCAATGAAAAAAGGCTTTTGAAAGCAACCGTAACCTCTCCCCATCCTCTCCGAAGCCTCACACCCAGCCCCAGCCGTCGTTAAAACCATCTTTTCTTCTGATGCCTCTTCCTAAGCCTTTTCATGAAGAACGAGATGTGGCAGCTCCTGCCTGCAGGTCCACGCTGGAGACAGAAGCTTGGTGGAGGACGTGGGGCTCCAGTAGGACACGGGGCACCGTCGCCGGGACAGGGCTTGGAGAGTGAAGGGAAGCTGGGAATTTGGGAATTGGGTGTTTTGCTCCATGGCAAGACTTTGAGTTCAGGGCAGCCTGTGAGTTTTGGAGTGCCACAAAGAGGATCAGAGGGCTGGAGCCCCGACTTTGAGTTTAGGGCAGCCCATGAGTTTTGGAGCGCCACAAAGAGGATCAGAGAGCTGGAGGCCCTCTGCTGTGAGGACAGGCTGAGAGAGTTGGGGTTGCTCAGCCTGGAGAAGAGAAGGCTCCGGGGAGACCTTAGAGCCCCTTCCAGTCCCTAAATTTGCTCCAGGAGAGATGGGGAAGGACTCTTGATCGGGGAGGGGAGCCATAGGACGAGGGATAATGGTTTAAAATGAAAGTGGGGAGATTAGATTAGATCTCAGGAAGAAATTCTTTGCTGTCAGGTTCTTGAGACCCTGGCTGAGGTTGCCCAGAGAAGAGGGCAGATTTAGACTAGATCTCTGGAAGAAATTCTTTGCTGTCAGGTTGTTGAGACCCTGGCTGAGGTTGCCCAGAGAAGCTGTGGCTGCCCCATCCCTGGAGGGGTTCAAGGCCAGGTTAGATGGGGCTTTGAGCAACCTGGTCTGGTGGGAGGTGTCCCTGCCCAGGGCAGGGGGGTTGGAACTGGCTGATCTTTAAGGTCCCTTCCAACCCCAACCATTCTATGATTCTTCTGTCCTTGGTCTCCTGTGGCTTTGCCTGGAATCTCCTGTCCCCGGCATCCTGTCCCCTCCCTGCAAAACCATCGTATGCTGTGGGCAGACAGAGAGAAGGGTGTAATGGTGGCTCTCCCAGGTGGTTCCTTCTGCTGTGCTGCGTGGGAGGTAGGAAGGTGAGGTCCAACAGGAATGAATTCTTGCTTTTTACCTCAAAAGAAAGTCCTTTTGGGGGGTTCTTGGCCAAGCACGAAGCCGTGGCAGGCTGCTAGAAAGGTCGATGGGGTCTCCAGAGTAGCTTGGACTTGCAGACCATGCGTGGATGTGAGTGCTGCCACCTTCCCCAGACCAGTGGTGAGATTTGGATCGTTCACACTGGCCTCATCAAGGCAGAAGGTGCTTCTGGCTCATTAGCAGGCGTGCGGTTCCTCCTCCCTTCGTCCCTGCTGAGCTGGTTGAGAAGCTGGTTGAGAAGCTGGTTGCCTGTGAATGGCTGAAATGGGAGGGAAGAATGTGTCCAAGTGCTTAAATAATCCATCCGGTTGCTTTTTGGGCTAGCAGGAGCAAAGGCCTATAGGAAGATGAAAACTGAAGACTGTTTTATGGACGTGGTGTCCCAGAGGTGGAGTAGGGGTCCTACTTCAGGCCTGTGGATCATCTGCCCCAAGTCTGAGAGCCTGACCATACCAACGTTTCTCCTCAACCTTGGTTTTTACCGATTTCTGGTGGTTTTCCCTGCTTCCCTGGCTGTCCGTGTCCCACTCAAGTAGCCTTCCCCCCCATCCCTGGTGTCTGTGCTCCTGGGACGCTCATGGGCAGCTCCGGCCCCCACCGTGGCTTATCCAGCCGTGCAGGTTCGGTTCTCTCCACCTCTCCTCCTAATTCACTCCGGCTCTTAATTGCGTTTGCTGCTGCTCTTTGAACTTGCTCCAGTTTTACTATCTCTGGTAATGAGGTGCCTAGATAGAGATGCATTCATC